CCCCCCCCCCCCCCCTCCCCCCCGACAAGCCAGAAGAAAGCGACGGCAGAAAGGAAGCGCGTGCGGTCGGAGGAGGATCAATGATTAATCTTCCCCTGAAAGTCCGGGACCTTCTTCCTCCGATATTAGTGCAGCTCTGGTTCCGTCTGAATTCATAATTGAAGGATGCCTCTGAGTGCTCCATGCGTGGGCCGGAGAGAGAGGATTTCTCTTCGGGATTCTCAGAAATCCGTTGCAGAGAGAGATCATGTCGGAAACACGTTGGGAGGTGCTACGAGACTAATCGTGTGACTCTTCCTCACTCTTGAATATGGCTCTGACGCACGCGTGAATATGGTTCTGACTCACGCGTGAATATGGCTTATGTAGATGACTCTGTGTCGGGGTCGGGGTCGGTAGAGTTCGAGTAGGAAAGATTCTCTTGAGGTTTCTTGGAAGGCGATTGCAAGAGGAATTTTGAGAAAATTTCTCTCTCACGTGAGACGATGTAAAAAGGATCTATCTCCCACTTGAGACAAATCACTTTTTATTCTCCATCCCATAAAGTGGAACGGGATTTAGCGAAGGTGGAATGAGATTTTTTGCCAACCTCCCTGGAACACGCCTGGGATTTTGCTAATCCTCCGATGACACGTGCTAATCCCTTGAACCTTTAAACCGGTCGACTAGGCCGACACGGACGCCAATCGACCGACCTGGAATCGACCCGCGGTTCCCTCTAAATCTGGCGAAGGAAAGATGAAATGCCGGAGGAGGCGAAGGAAACGTCATCCGATGCTCATCCTGGTCTCATCCGGCGCTCGTCCGCCAGATGGCAACGCTCTAATAAATCATTCTTAATGGCATCACGTAATGGCTTAACATAACGAGAAATTTGGAGATGCAGTCCGACCTCGCCGAATCCATCTTCAGTTTCAATATTCACGGGAGATTCCAGTGACTTCGTCATTTGTAATGACTACGTCATTTATAGCGACTTCGTAATTTGCAAGTGCTTCGTCATTTACAATTAATCCATTCAAGGACTGAAAGCAGTTTTTTACTTGATGGGTCATAAATTCGTTGATGAAGCACTGATGCGGGGGATCGCATTAAATGAGCCATGACAATCAGTTGTTTGGCTAATTAGAGCTGATATCGTCTTTGATAAGGCATTAAAATTAGACGCTGATTTGCATATCGGTAATGAGTGTACTCGTGCGAAAAGAACGTCGAAAAGGTTAGAAAATGATCCGCGACCTACAGGGTTACGTTAAAGAGCCCCCTCCCCGACCCAGGTAATCGCATAGACACGACATAGACCTGGCAAAGACACGGCATAGACACGACATAGACCTGGCATAGACACGGCAAAGACATGAATAGAATCCCTTGCAGGAGACCTGGAGATGCGCAGATTGAATTGGACTCGGCTCGTGCTCTGCATCCTTCATGAGGACCGAGGAAGCATTAAAACCGTGAATCAGATTTCCTCAACCGAGGAAAATTGGTCGAGCGAGAGCAGTTTCTAGGAAGCAGTTTCCAGGGAGCAGTTTCCAGGGAGCGCATTCCGCAATTTCTAGTTCGGAATCCCACTATACGAGCTTTTGAGATATGCATTTTAATGTTTAATCGATTGTTCGTGAGAAAATTACCGAAAGGAAATAAACGCAGGATGTTCGTGGTAACAGGGCCCTGCTTTTGCTTGGCGGAAAAAACGCGGGAAAAAATTGCGGAAGCACGGACGACGCTCCGCGTTTTTTTCGCGAGCGATGGCCCCGCGGACCGAAACGGCGGACGTCCCGGGAGACCGCGGGAGGACTTGCCTCCCGGCGTCGCCATCCGACCGCGGAAACCGGCGGTGGGCGGATTGATTCGCGGGGGATGATCCGTTTGATGAATGGACCGCGTTCCCTATCGATCATCTCTGACGTCAGACGTGAGGCCGAGGCACCTCATCCTTTCAGGTTTTTTTTCGGTCATTTCCTTCCTCGTTTTCCTTCCTCGCTTTCGCAATTTTTTCCGGCATATCCCGAGCAATTCTTGTTAATCTGAACGTGCAAAAAAAAAAAAAATCCTTCGACCAATGTTGTCGCAATTTTTTTTTTTAGGAAATCGCGAGCAAATATTTCAATTTAGTCGGGAAATTTAATTGAAGTTTATTTGATATTTTATTTTAAAAAAATCGATGAATCGGATCAGTAATTGGTCGTTTAATTGGTTTTCATGGAGGAATACGAATGAGAAAATTAGCGGAGTGAGATATGTCTCTCGCGTGCGACCTCTTAATGAGATCGTGCGAGACCGGACGAGACCGGATGGGGCCGGATGAGGTCCGGAATCGGGTCGCGATTAATCCCAAGGTCGGGAAGTTATCGCGGGGGAACTTGACGCAGTTCCCGCTCGAATCCCCGATAAAGGCGACGAACGCGAAAGTATGCACGAAACCGCATCGATCGTCGCCGTGACGTCACGGGGGGCATGATTGATGTCACGGGGGGGCATGATTGATGTCACGGGGGAACAATGGAATTCCAACTCCGGTTTCCACAAATGAATCGAGTCCGGTTTCCCCGCTTTAGGGTTAATTTGCCCTCAAAACTCCCAGGAAGACACGGGCCTTCGATTGAAGCCATCATCAAAGTCTCAAATTAATGTTTCATATTAATGTCGCATATTAATGCCTCACATGATGGGCTTCTTTATTGTGCGACACGTGATATTGCACCCCCCTCCTCCTCCCCCCACCCCCTCCACCCCCCCTCCCCCCCCACACCCTGCTGCACTTCGTATCGATTCAGCTCGGTGGATTAATCTCCTCCATCCTTTCCAGTGAAAAAATTTCATTTATGGGGGGAGAAAAATCTCATTTATAGGCCTATCACCTGCAGATTGAGAGGACGGATCAATTCCGGAAATGGAAATGCAACTGAGACGATATGAGAAATCCATTTCCTTCCTCTTCTCAGTCTGCAATTCCATTCTCTTGCTTATTTTCATTCGAACCGCCGTTTCCTCCCCTTTCAAAAGTCTTTTTTGGAAGCATTCCATCCAATTAGATTTGGATTCGCTTTAGATTTCGCGCGCGTTTTCGCCCCCGCGCTGAATCCGGTGATTTTTGGTCTCCAGCCTCCGCCTGCCCGGGAGATTCTTCGAGCTGAACATCTACCACGGCCTGTACGTCGGGGGGACGGGGAACTTCAAGGAACTGTTCCTCGGGAACCTGCCCAACTTCCGCGGCTGCGTGGAGGAGGTCGTCTACAACGACATCCACGTGTTCGTGCACGCGCGGAGCCACCTGGGCGACGCGGAGATCTACCGCGTCACCTGGGACTGCTCCGAGGAGTTCGCCGCGAGCCGCGACCACCCGATGAGCCTCGTGGAAGACACCGCGTTCCTCACCGCCCGAGTCAGCATCCCCCGGATCGGCGGGGGGATGTCCTTCGACCTGAAGAGCCAGGCCTCGGACGCCGTCCTCTTTTACTGCAGCGGTCCCACCACGGATTACGTGGCGGTCGAGTTGGTCAAAGGGAGGATCCGGTTGACGTTCGACAACGGGAACGGGAAGGTGACGATCGGGAGCGAGGTGAACGTGAACGACGGGCTCTGGCACGCGGTTCGAGTTCACTTCAGTCTCGCGTACGGCGAAGTGAGCGTCGACGACGTTCCGACTTCGGTTCGACCGCCGAGCGGAGCGAAGAAACACCTGGACCTGTCCGAAGACATCTACGTGGGGGGAATGGAGTTGAACATGCTGACGAAAGCGGTGAAGCGTGGGATCGGCGTGAAGAGCCTCCAAGGCTGCCTTCGATATCTGGTCGTGGACGGGCGGTCCGTGTCCCTGCTGGACGCGGTGGTGACTCAAGGGATGAAAGCCGGCTGCGTCTGGGATTATCCGTGTCTGAGGCAGCCGTGCATCCCGAGTGCGACGTGCACGCAGCAGGGGCAGGACTCGTTTCGGTGCGAGTGCGGGAGCCCGCCGTGCGTGAAGGGGGATCCGGGGACGCCGTATTCGGTCTTCACCAAGACGACCTTGCCGCAGGACTTCGAGATCATCTCGTTGAAGGCCGTGTCGGTCAAGGAGGGGACGTCGAGCCTCGTCACGACGGATCACATGGGAATCGCTTTCGACTATCACAAGTTCGGGATCAGGGAATCCGGGATCATGTTCCACGTGATGGACCCGCCGAAACACGGCGTCCTGCGCGCTTCCATCTGGATCCACCCCCAAGACTCCATGTTCACGTTGCTGGACGTCCAGGGCGACCGGGTGTCGTATCAGCACGACGGCTCCGAGCATCACCAAGACTCGATCGCGTTCGAGATCGAGTTCCTCGCGTCGAATCAGTTCATTCTTCCCGCGTATCTGCAGGCACGGCAGAGATTCGCGCTTCACGTCGACGTCTCCCCGGTGAACGACCCTCCGAGACTGGATCCCAGCTCGGAAAAAGTGTTCAAACTGGCCGTGAACACGGCGAAACTGCTGACCCGACGGCATCTGTTTGCCACCGACCCCGACGACCGCGTCTCCGACCTCAAATTCACCGTCCTGAGCCTGCAGAGCGACTCGAAAGAAGTCGGCCGGAGTTACGTCCAGAACAACCTGCTCCCGGGGACCCCGATCCGGGAATTCAGCCAGGAAGACGTCGACAAGGACCTCATCGCCTTCGTCCATCAGGGAGAAAAGGTGGAGAATCTGAGACTCGGACTCAAACTGTCTGATGCGACCGAAGTCGGGGAGACCCTGGTCATCCGGATTCTCCCATTCCCGCTGGAGATGGAAATCCTCAACAACACCGGTTGCGAGCTGGTTCACGAGTCTCCCGTCGTCCTCACCCACGAGAACCTCACTCTGACGACGAACGCGGAGGACCAGGACTTGGAACTGAGGATCGACATCGTCCAGGACGTGAAGTACGGGGAAGTGCAGCGCCTGCGGAGCACGGGATCCTGGCACAAGGTCAATCACTTCACCCGAAAGCAGCTGGAGAAAGGGAAGATCCGCTATCTGCACCTCCAAGGAACGCCGGAAACCGACGAGTTCAAGTTCCGGCTCACGGTGTCCGGGAACGCCGTCCCCGCCAAGGAGCACGTCTTCACTTTCACTTTCGTCCACATGACGATCAAACTGGAACGCCAAGAGGAATTGGTCCTGGATGGGAGAGCCCAGGGAACGATCACGAACGGACATCTCCTGGCCGTGACCTTTCCTCATCAGAGTCTCCCGCACGCCATCGTCTTCCGTCTTCTCTCCCAGCCGAAATTCGGGGACCTGACCATGGAATCCGGGTCCGAATTCCGAGCCCTCCGCGCAGGCGACAACTTCACACAGTTGCACATCAACGACGAACGGATCCTGTACACGATGAAGCAGAAGGCCTATTCCCCGGTCTACGACGATTTTCGCTTCCAGGTCTGCGTTCAAGGCCGAGAGGATCAGGAACGGACCTTCACCGTCTTCCACGATCCGGGCCGGGACGGGTTCATCGAAGTCCTGGAAACGCTGGAAGTCCTGGAAGGGTCCAGCCAACCCATCAGCCGCCACTTCCTCTGGCTGGAAACCCTCGAGATCCGAGACATGAAATACAACGTGACGAAGCCGCCGAGCCACGGAGTCCTACACGTGTTGGATCCCGGACTCTCTCAGCCGGAAAGAACCAACGTAACCGGATTTACATCGGAGGAAGTGGGGCGAGGACAGGTCCTCTATTCCCATCTGGGATCCGAGACGGAAACGGATTCCTTCCACTTCCTCGCCGCTGGAGCTCGGGACCCTTCGCAATTCCTCTACTTGGGGACCTTCCACATCCGAATCTTGTTACGGAACGACAATGCTCCTGTTCGAGTCGTCAACCGGGTGTTTCAGGTCGTGGCCAGGTCCGAGAAACTCTTGACGGGACGGGACTTGAGATACTCGGATCCGGACAAGGGCACTCTGCTGTCTCAGATCAGATACCGCCGAGACTCCAGTCCCCACGGGACCTTCCATTTCGTCCACGACAAGGCGACCGAGATCTACTCCTTCACCCAGCAGGACATCAACGACCTGAAGGTCCTCTACCGACACCGAAGCGAGGAGAACGCCGACCAGGTGATGTTCTGGGTCTCCGACGGGGAGTTCCAGACGCAGGGCCTCTTGGAGATCCGCGCTTCGCCTCCGTTCGTCCAAGTCGCCAACAACACCGGGATGATTCTCCCGAGGGGATCGACCGTCTCTCTTCGCTCTGAGAACCTCAGCGCGCTAACCAACGTTAATGTCTTGGAAAACGGGACTATTTACGCCATTACGCGATTACCGAAGTTTGGTCGGATGATCAAAGACGACGTTCCGATTAAGGAATTCCGAGAATCGGATCTAAGATCGGGAACCGTGGAATTCGAGCACGATGGATCGCCGAGCGCCGAAGATAGCTTTCAGTTTCGAGTTTCCGTTCCCAATAACGTCACCACGGATGGAATTTTCATCTTTCGCATCTATCCCGAGAGTTACTGGGAGCCGCTGGAAGTGGTCAATTCGAAAACCCTTTTCGTGGGCGAAGAGGAAGTGGGCACAATCACTCCATCTCTATTGCTCGTCTCTCATCCGAATATCCCTCCGAGCGAGATAACGTTCACCGTCATCAAAGAACCAGAGTTCGGATTCTTAAGGAACGGCGGGACGAAGGAGGAAGGGATTCGAGTCTTTGATCAGAGTTTGATCAACGAAGGCCGTTTGGAATACCTGCCGACAGACCCAGACTCCGGCGAGGATTTCTTCGTGTTGAACGTGACGAACGGCATCACGGATCTCGGCAGAAACGTTCTCTTCAAGATTCTCATCATCCCCAAAGTGATTAACTTTCAGGCGAAGGACATCCAGGTGTCGGAGGGCGAGGCGGTGAAGCTAAACAGTGAAGACATTTTTGTGACGAGCGAGTATTACCGGGAGAGGATCACGGAATTCGTGGTGAGGGAGAAACCGCGGCATGGGACCATAATGATGGAATCGAACAAACAAGAACGGACCAAAGTGGACGCCTTCTCCCCCGCACAGCTACGCGACGGGATCGTACAGGTGAGACAACTTTTCCTCCCTTTCGGATTGGCTGGAGGTCTGATTAGCGAAGGCTCTCATTGGCTGGAAACGTCGCTCCGGGAAATAACTGCCTGCGAATATCCTCGCCCGCACGACTTGTGATCCCCGCGGGACGACTTTCGTGTTCGGGGGTTGTTGCGCCTCTTTCCCTCCGCACTAGAATAGAAGTGGATGAGGACCCTACAATATACGTATTTCCGTATGTCCCCCCATTTCTCGCTGAAGGACCATCTCATTCAATTTCGGCCAGTGTCTTGGGAGCCATTAGCTCTCACAATGCCTCCTTGACGTCACTCCACACTCGGATTCAATTCCCGCCTGAATGCTGCAGTCAATACAAACGGCGGTCTTCTGAGCCTTATCCAAGGTGAAGTGGATTTATCGGGCTTCACGTGTTCTCCGGTGAAGACTCTCTCTGAACGTTCTCCCTCGCATCACTTCGGTAAAGAATGGGACAGATCGATCAAGAGGCAGCCGTTATCTTTAGACATAAGGATGAGGATGTTCCCATAAAGCGCTATTTTAAGCCCAATGATACTTACGTCTCTGCAACATTCCCCGGTATTATTTGATAGATACTGCGAATGGATAGAGCAGACGATTACAATGCTAATGCATACTGCTGTGACTCCATGAAACATAAATGTCAACGATTCCCAAAAGAACCTCAGACGAGAACAATTCCACGATTCTACTCGAGCGAGTCTACCCAAGTCGATTAATGAACTAATTAACCCTTTCAATGCTATTGCCGTGTATACACGTCCGCCACTTCAAGTTTGTTCCATTCTTAGTCTATAGTGCAATTTTAGTAAATCTAGTCAATCAGGCGTTCACCTGCCATCAATTCATTACCTTCATTACTTAGGGGAATGTGCATAATTCAAATCAGTGCCATGTTTCTTAAAACAGACGAAAGCCTAAAATAACGCTCGGATTGGGGAAAGCACAAAAAAAAGCTCTCAGCATTGAAAAGGTTAAGCAAAAACTCCTGCTAGAAATCCTGCGAGCTCGAAGAGCAAGATTCACATGAGAAATGTGCCCAAAACCTTTTTTTTTCCACGAAACCATGTCCAATCCTCTTTCATCTTATTACTGGACTTCGATGACATGTTAAAAGAATCCGTCGGAATATCATGGGTCTGGCGAAGACTTGGATATGATGTTTCCTTTGAAACGAATAATTTTACCCAAAGTAGGTCGTAAATGCACCCAAGCCGATCCAGGACATCAAACGTGCCTGGAATGGCATCCTAGAGCAACCGTAATTTGATTACCATTTGGAGGCAAGAAATATGGTTGCTTTCATTTGTTCGTCCCCTTGACGTAAGCACTCAAGATCAACATTTCCGCGAATCGATGCTGCAGCAAACCGTTTCCTCGATATTCCTGGAATATTAATCAAAGGAGGCCATGAGCGCTTGATTTTTCGCAGGAAAACGAGGAAAATGATGGAAGGAGGAAAAAGATGAAAGGCAAAGTGCAAGTAATCCTAGACGTCCACTTGTGCCGACGTTTTCAGCTGCATTTCAAGTAATTGATATGCCAGTTGAACAGGTTGCACGAGAATGGAGTTTTGACACAAGGCTCCATCTTTCTAAGTCAATAACTGTATCGATAATTTTCGCTGGAGATGGCTGAAATTTGCCCCGATCCGACATGCAGAAGCTGCCCAGTTCCGATTCCTATTCAGATTGAATAATTACGTGTACATCACTGAAAATAATTTTTTCATGTTTGAGGATGTTATCATTAGTAACGGTCTCTCATGGATTTGTGATATGGGGAAATGTGAGTCTACTGTTTGTTCCACTCGGTGTAAATTCCAAATATCCTGTAAATCATTGATAATATCATTACCTCGATAATGAATGCGTAAGAGCGACGAAACCCAGTATATTCAGGCTTGGGAAGTCGATACTAATAAAGTAGATGAAGCCATTCGTCACGCGCATATGAGGTTAACTTTTCAGCGTAAAGGAATTCCCTTCTATATTATAAAAATAATTATTTTTGCAAGATTGTGGGCGAAACCAGAAATTGTTCGGCTCTTCAACAATATGAACAATAAGATGTTTGAGATGATGCCACCTTATTTTAAATATGCCCTGTTTGGCCTTCTCTCCTCAAATTGAAATTGAAAAAGAATCGAAAAAATTTCTCATTAAAACCCCAGAACGTTTTCAATACCAGTACATGCACGACGGGAGCGAGAGCACGGAGGACAAGCTCATGATGGTGGCGAGGACGGAGGAAGGGAAAGAGAGTCCGCTCACTCCCTTCATCTTCCGCATACGAGCCGTCAACGATGAGAAGCCGGGCGTCGTCAACAACACGGGGGGGAACGTTTGGGAAGGGGGAAATCTCACGATTTCGCCTTCGATGCTCGGTGAGTATCTGCTGTGTTCTCCATCGGGCTGGGGAAAATGGGTTTCTTTCCCTGTCAGAACTGTTATGTCGGCAGTGAAGCGTATGACCGATCCATCTACGTCCGTCTATGGATCTTCCAGTCATCCATCAAAATCCTTCCTTCCATCCTCGGGGGATTTCCCCTCGATTGCCATTCATGGTGCGAGAGATGGACATTTCCCTTTGAATATGAATTCTCGTAGGGGCCGTGGACGAGGACAGCGTGGCAGGGAACGTGACATTTCTCCTCGCCTCGGTCTACGGGGGATATCTGCATGGTGCCGATGGAGGACCGCCCCTGGAGATCTTCACGCAGGAAGAGATTAATCGGGGACGAGTCCGTTTCTCACATCAAGGTCCGATTTTTTTTTCGCTCTTCCGTCGCAATCCATCTTCTCGTACGATGCTCTGGGACGTCTAGGATCGTTCAATATAGTTCGTCGTGTTCGTCGCTCGGGTCTGGGGGGCTTATTACGGAGTTCATCGCGCGGAGTAGCGGAATGTATGCAGTCTCCCCTTGTTCTTTGTGTTCCGAAGAGAAATGTCATTAACCCCGGGGCGCCCCTTTCTCATGTTGATTTTCCCCTGGGGAATCTGGGCCGAACTGCTGGCTCCCTTCCAAGCTTCGAGCTCTTTCTCGGCGAATAAAAATAAAAATAAAAGTAAAATGGGGAGCCCGCGAGTTGCCCTGCATGGGTTTCGTGGAAATCCGGATATTTTTCCGAAATCAAAGATGACTATCGTACAATTTTCATCTCATCTCAGAGGATGATATCTCGGATTATCATCTCAAAGGATGAATGCCCTCTTGGAGAATCCAGGAAAACATGCGTTTTACTTTCGTTCGCTGAAAAATACGAATTTTCCGGGTAGCGAAAGCATACCTGTCGAGTACTAAGAGCTGATTCGTGAGAAAAACATCCTGCAGGCAAATCCAATTTTTCTGAAGTGGCTTTCAGGAAAAATTTCCTGTTTTTAGATTTCTCTTAGTGGTTTTTTTCCGCTTTCCTTTATGGCATATGTAGAAGGAAGAGTTTCACGCTCGAGAATAGGTCTTCGGAGGGAATAAGTGTCATTTATCTGGTTTTTTATCGGCTGTTTGAGACGCATTCGCTTTAAAGGATAGGTTTTCTACATTAAGGTAATGGAGCGGACCCCGAGGGAGACAGAGAGAAAGAGAGAATAAAAATACGTCATTTCCGATCGAAAGAAAAAACGGTGTAGCGAGCGAAAAGGATGAAACGATAGATGGAATCGACAATAACGCGGAGTGATCCAGCGTTTATGTATTTATGTGCGCATTGCAGGCGGAACAGAAGCAGGCTTCAGATTCCGCGTGACGGACGGGGACTTCGTCTCCCCCGAAGCCTTCTTTAACGTCACGGTCCACAGCCTCCAACTCAGATTGTCGTCCCTCGAGACGCTGAAGGTCTTCCCGATGATGACGGCCCCGTTGAGTCCGAGTCACCTGTGCGTGTCGTCCAACGACCCGTGGGGCGACCGAGACGTGACCTTCCAGGTGACGATCCCCCCCCGCCTCGGCCGGATCCTCGTGGCATCGGGGGAAGAGAAGCTGGAAGACGCGGACACGTTCACCCAGTCTCAGATCAACGCCAGCCGGGTGATGTACCAGCACCTCCAGCCCCTGAGGGAGTTCAGAGCAGGGGACGAGGTCGTCCTGCGAGGATGGAACCCGCACGGAAGGCCCCTGGAAGGGATCAAGCTCTCGGTCGAGATCTCCTTGGCTGGGGAGTCCCCGGATGGACTGCAGAGGTTTCTCAATCTGAGCGAGGTTGCCGTGTCCGAGGGGGGTGAGACGTGTCTCGGGGGAGCGAACCTGGACATTCGGGGGATCGTCGCCTTCATCCAGGGATATCGACGTCAGGTTTCCATGCCGATGAGCCAGGAGCCCGGATTCGTGATTCGGGTCGTCTCGTTTCCGTCTCACGGAGTCCTGTTGTTCCGGGGTCTGAATCAGAGCTCGCCGTTCGCTTTCGGTCAGGAAGACGTGGATTCGGGTCAGATCTGTTACCGACACGACCACTCGGACACTCTGAGGGACGAAATCGGAATCTCTCTGTACATGGTGACGAGCCAGACGAGGGACGACGACCTGTGGCTCATGAACGGGACGTTGAACGTCACGATCTGGCCCATCAACGATCAGCCGTTTCGCTTGGAGACGCTGGCTCCTTCCATGGACGCCGTCGAAGGACAGATACAGTTGATCCGGAGGGAAAAATTGCTCGTCACGGACCCTGACACCGAGCCGGGCTCCATCGTCTTCGAGGTGCTGCAGGCTCCCAAAATGGGGAAACTGGCTCTGACTCTGAGAGGGGATAAAGAGGCCTGGCGATTCACCCAATCGGACATCGACGAGGGTCGATTGGTCTATTCCCACGATCGAAGTGCGAGGGGCCGACTTGAACCAGATTCCTTTCATTTCAAGGTCTCAGACGGGAAATTTCCTCCCATCTACGACCGGATGCACGTGAACATCCGTCCCCTGACCCTCGAAATGGCCAACAACTCCCCCATCATCATCAGGCAGGCCTCGACGGTGGCTTACCTGGAAAACACGTCCATAGCGGCCGTGACCAACGGAGATCCGGATAAGATCTATTTCAACATCACCCGCGAACCCTTCCACGGCTCGATGTTCCTCAACGACGAGCGCACGGACTCCTTCGGCCAGAGCCACATCGACGGCCGGCGCGTCTTCTACATGCAGACGAACCTGTCGGTCTCTTGGGACTCGTTCGAGGCCACGGTGAGGAACGAGCATCGGATGCTTCCGCCGACGCTCTTCAACATCACCGTCGCCCCTTTGGTGGACCTCCGTCCCTTCAACTTCACTTTCGGGCAGCAGCTGCCCCTGACCACGGACTTGATGAGTGCCGGCCGCCTGGCCGAGATCACCGGATCGGCGCCTGTCTTCCGCGTGCTTCGGAGGCCCACCCTCACCAGGCTCAAGGTGGTGCAGAAGCGACCGAGTCGGGCCATCAAGACGCAACTCGTATTCTCTCAGCAAGACTTGGAGGAGAGGCGGGTCTACCTCATCGGGAAGAAGCAGGGTGCTCCCATCATCACGTCCATGGTGGATTCGTGGGATTATCTTCTCGTGGCCCGAGACGTTCAGCCGGCTTACGGGACGGTCAAGTTCCTCGTCCATCCAGAGGCTCGGAAAGAAGAGGGACAGATGACTCCAAGCATCAATTCCGTGGTGGACAACCATGATCAGGCCGTCTTGGTCAGGACCGGGCCTCAGATCACCAAAGACTCCTGGCTCATCGCGAGCATCGTCTCCGGCGTGGTCATCTTGGCCGTCTTCATCATCATCGGTATCAAATGCACCATGAGACGCAAGCAGATCCAGGCGATCCGCCGCCAGCAGCAGAAGGAGCAAGAGCATCAATTCAAGACATCCAGCCTGTACTTCAACGGAGACGTGACGGACTTCGACAACATGTCCCTGCCCCACCCCTACGAGATGGGCACCCTCCCCCGCAGCTACTGCGACTACCCCTCCTCCCCCAGGATCATCCGAGCCTACAAGGGCCAGGGCCCCCGCTCCTTCTCGTCCGACACGGAGTCCGCATGCCAAGAGCTTGGAGGGTCCTCCAACATCCCGCAGTGTAAAGTGACCCCGTTGTGTTCCGGAGACGTCTCCGGTAACCCCAACTGTGATATCCCTGGTTGTAGCGAGGAATGTTGCTCGGACCCGGATCATCTCGGTTTCAAGCCATCCAATCCCATGCTGAGGAAGAATCAATATTGGGTTTGATCCTCGTCGCTGGCAGCTCATGTTTGCATGTGGTTTGTCGTGTGAATCAAGCTTGTTTTTGTCAAGTCGTGGTGCTTTCTTTTTGATTAATTACAGCAACGCAATCTATGGGAATGGATGCATTTGCAGATTGCAGGTGTGAATTGTGCTGCTTTTCTAAAAAAAAAAAACAAACCATAGGCTGGGCAATACCAAAAGGAAATGGACAATAGTTTGCGTGAAAAATCTATTTGAAGTGAGAAAAAAAAACATGCTCTCGTTAAAAACGTTCACAAAGCCTTCGTCCATCTTAGGAGAGCTGATGGGGCCTGGACATGAGTCTTACGTATCTTCCTTTTGTCTCTTTTTATATTGCAACTTTGACCTGTATCGTTGAAAGAAACTGGCTAACGCTTTCATACCAGGGAAACCTTGGAAGTGAAACTGAGAATGCAACGTCGCTAATCGATGCTCCTCTCTCTCATCTGGCCAAAAGCATTAATATGCTCCCCCGATCGTTGAACGATCGGACTGTCGGCTTCATCGTGAATAAAAATGCGCAGCCTGGAATGCAGTCAATTGGTAAGGACACGAGAGTCGAGCGGGCATCACCTCCAACAGGGGTTTCCTATTCAGCCTGACTGCAACGCAGGGGTAGACCCCCTATTGTGCCTGTTCCAGCTTCATTTCATCGCTGTTCCAGCCGCATTTCATTGCTCTTCCAGTAATAAATGTTCTTGCCGACTCATAAAAAGGTTCGTTTCCACGCTGTAAATTATATATGCAAGGGTGGTGTTGCTTGCGTCTTGCTCAACTCCCTTTCCCTGTGAGCTGGTTGGTTCGTACACTCTCTGTGGCTTCACTTTATTTGATGCCACTGCGCATCGGCGCTAGAAAGAAGTCGCATAAGGGAATATGCTGGTTTCGCCTTGCAGGCGAAGTCACACGGCGATAAGACGGGTCGGATCGACCACACTGCGAGGTTGACAATAGCTTTATGGACGTAGGCGTAATGGCCATTTAGTTTGAAATCAAAGCCTTTTTTCTTTCCGAGAAAAAGAGGCCAAGTACAGGCCTGTCGCGATTATGTGCGTGTCTGTGCGTTGACTGTGTCTCTTCCCATTTTTGTCATCCAAGAATAATTTAAAATAAACGGTGACCCAATCGCTGCAAACATTGGAACGAGGACAGATAGAGGCAAGTTACCGAGTTCGCCTCCAGCAAAAATTAATGCTATATTCAAAATTTCTCACAGCAGGAAAGGCATCAGGAACCACCAACTTCGCTGAATCACAAACACACAGCCGGCAGAAAACAGGACGAGGCCGCACGCGGCATCGAGAAACAAAGTCGTCAGCCCCACGAAAATCCACATCTGGCAACCCTACACATCGTACTCCCATCGCATCTCATCCGCTCCGTGCTTCCTCCTCGCAGCATTCATCCGGCTCTCCTTCCTGATTCCCCACAGTCGCTCGATGAGTGGATCATATTTCAAATCTAGATCGCATTACGCCTGTCTCGAAGGGGAGATCATGGTACTCCGTGCTCCTAGTAGAAGTGTAAGAAAAGCCGGGACCCACAGGACTCGGATATTGCAGAAGCTACGACGCATTTTTTACTCGCTTTATTCCCGTGTCAGAGGATTTCCTGCCTATCCGATTAGGACTCGACTCGGTCAGGTCCCAGAGGAATCTAGCGACAGAGGTTCCTCGGTGAATAGGAAGAAGCCGACGGATCGAGCGAATATTGCAAAGGTTTCTCGGCTCCGTTCCCGGCGCATGCCGCATGAATTCCCCGCGGAAATTCATCGGGCGACACACGAGATGTGAAGCTTTTCAGACCCGGCGTCTTCGCGTGCAGCGTCGAGGATTTGTCGAACCGGTGTTGCCGGATTTTAATTCTCGACCATCGCCGTCGAGAAAAACATGAGCAGGAAAAGAAGACGAGACAAAAACAAGATATAGATAGCTCTAGGCAGAAAAAGCCTCTCTGAAAGTGTTTCTCGCTTGATTGAGGATTCTTCCCCTCAGCCGCGCCATTGAACCGTGTTGCAACAGGAAAGCTCGCCCAGGTTTGGAATTTGATGAAAACAGGGAACCAAAAAACTCCTCCTCCAAAAAGGGAAAAGTTGCGAGTTTCGGAAGCGCAAGGCAACTCACGCGCGGGAAAAGTCGTTTAAGGTCCAGCACGTGTCGGAGTGACATCTGTCCGAGACCTTGGGAACTTCCCCAGGTGTCGGATGACATTTCCCACCGGTTTTCTTTCGGATTCAGCAGGGACAAGGCGTGTTTCTCCGCCCATCTGGTAGATAACATTTGCTTCCTTAGGGGATGGTCCCAGCTGTGCCTCTCGCGCATGCCAGCCGACGCACTGTGCAACGCTCTATGACAGCTTTCGATGGTGATAAGATTAGGACAGTGACAGGAAACACGATCGCCAGGACGCGGGGGGGGGGGGGGGGACTTCACCGTCATCTTACCTGGTTATCTTACCTTCAAAATGTGTCTGTGTGACTTCGTGAAAGGACATTTACTGCAGCGCAGAGGAGAGACGAGGTCACACGGACACGTTTTGAAGGTAAGATAACCAGGTGAGATGAAGGTGAAGTTACCAGTCCAAAAATCACCCTCATTGCCTTGTTACATTACCTTCCGAGGCTGTGTGTGTACAGAGAGAAAAGACGGAATCATGACAAACGCGTCAGACCTGCCAAGTCGACCGCGATCGGCCCCAGCCCGTTCGGGAACGAGTTACCATCTATGAACGGTGAAGCAAAGCTCGAGCTTCCCAGCCGAGAAAATAGATGTCAGGGAATGCCGGGGAAAGATCCTCATGAGAGGGAACCGATTCCCCCTTCTGTTGACCTTCCTTAAGCTCAAATAACGACAACGATTACGGTAGATACTTAAAGGGACAGCCGGCAAAGGAAAGAGCAGAGTAATTTCCATTCCTCACGCGAGTCATAGACCGAAGATCCAACCTATCGGGAAAACGATGATGGTCGTCGGGCACGAGAGAGGCACGAGAGAGGCACGAGAGAGGCACGAGAGAGGCACGAGAGCGCCTTGGAGCAATGGATAACAAATAACCCCCTGCGATAACAAATAACCGCCCACGTGGGCAGCCCCGGTAATCATGCAACGATTCATACGATTTTCCGAAGGGGAATTCGCGAGATTCGCTCGAGCTGAAATGCTGAAATGGACGATCCAGTCATTTCGTCATGTCATTTTTTTTTCCCCGCACTCTTTCCTCCTACGAACGGCGGAAAAATCCCCTGCTTATAACACCACCCGTCACATCATCGAAATATTGTAATTAACTTGTAAGCGAGCGGCCAGCCCTGCAATTTACTCGAGATTCCTCGGATCCAGTTTTGACAGAGCGAGCAGAAAATCTTGTATCTTTTTCTTCTTCCTCTCCTTTCTCCGCCTCGCAGGAAGTTCCCAGAGTTTAAAACCGCGTTTCCGCGAATACAACTTGCTCTTCGTCTGATCTCGTATTCATCGACGTTAACTTGACCCCTCCCCCCCCCTCTCCTCCCCCCCTCCCCTATCCTTCCAGAGCCTCAGTCGTCCTCGAGAGCTCCGTCGTTTCTCACACGAAGAGGGGACAAAAAGGGAAGAGGGGACAAAAAGGGAAGAGGGGACAAAAAGGGAAGAGGGGTTCTGCCTCTCGAAGGAGCGGCAGGGAGATCCCGAACTTTTAGATTCGCCTTATCGTCATCGTTATTGTTATCGTCATCGTCGTGTTCTGCCCTTCCTCGCCGTGTTTTGCCCTTCCTCGTCGTTCTCAGATCCGGTCTGACTCCACATTCCCAGAGACGCTTGGGGACCGTCGACGGAGCGGAAATTTTCGTTGGCCAAATCCATCGCAATGTCTCATCTTTTTTATTATTTATTATTTACTATTATTTTTATTATTTATTATTAAACGAAATTCGCTGTATTTTTTTTTACTGGTTCACTGCTGGCTCCACGTTTCTTCGTGCTAATCCGGCGGTCTTTTCTAAGCAATTGATGCTAATTTCCTCATTTTAGACTCATGACGAAAACGACTCCGCTCAGCGAAGGACAAAGGGCAAAGGACAAAGGACCAAGAAAGGCGATCGTGCGTGGCTTTCGAAGCATCGGAAAGCCCCCGCTCACAAATTCCTGCGATGGAGACTTTTTCTTCCCAATCACGATCTCCCAGAATGAAAATCCCAAAGAAAATTTCTCTTCTTCAAAAATTTTTAAATTTCTTTAAAGGATGTCATTAGGATGAAGAGAGAAACGAGAGAAAAGCTCAACAAAAGTGCCAACTTTTAAATTTTCGCATCGGGTCCGAATTGCAATCACGGATTCGTCGGAATCGCGACCGCATTTTCGGAACAGAAATCGCATTTTTTCCCCGACCCGATAAGCACCGAAAAGACACCGCCAAAACCTTTATCGATTGCATATATTAAAAAAAAAAGGTTCTCGTCGAATTGAAACGACGCGTCAACCCAGTTTCAACCTGGCAAAAAAAAAAAATAAATAAATAAAATCCAAACCAACGATAGACCCAACGGTAGACCCAACGGTAGACCCAACGGTAGACCCAACGGTAGACCCAACGGTAGACCCAACGATAGACCCAACGGTAGACCCAAATCGATCTCGAATGCCCGAAGAATGACGCAGCTTTTAAAACAGAACGTTCCCGCGTCCTTTCCTCGTCCCAGCGGCCTTGAAACCGAGCGTCCGGGGGCGGATGAAGGTCGCAGATTCCGAGAGCCTCACGATCAGGGATTATCCGTGGGATCATCGGGAATGCGCTGTGATGCCACGACCGAACTTCATCTGGATCGTTTCGGCTCTCATTCTTTGTGAATTAATTTCGGCGATTATTTTCTTAGTGCCGAATTTTTTTCTGTCTTCGAAAATTCTTAAATAATTTAATTTAATTTAATTTATTAATTTTATTCCGGTCGAATCACGGCAGACGTATGTATGAGGGCTGTCCCATTCTAATTTCGAATTTTAGAGGGTACTCGCGCGTATTTGAAGTGTCTTTCATGGAACCTTTCGATCCCGTGACGAAGTTGTCGATTCAGAAA